AGGCCGGTAGAGGAGGGGAGGCCGGGGGGTGGCATTCAGTGCTCGCAGAGCGGGAGGAGAGGCGAAGGCTAGCGAGGGAGCAAGCGGACAGGGAGAGGAGGAACTCGGGGCAGCGGGGGAAGGAGCAAACAGCCTGGAGGGAAGGCACAGGAGAGAGCGAGCGGAGAACAGACCTCCCGAGGGCGGAGGGGGACCGTGTGAGGGAGCCCGCAGGAGGGACTGGAGCCCCAGGGGAGGGCTCCAGGGCGCAGGCGGGTGGGCACAGCGGGGTTGGAGCGGTCAGTGCAATTTCAGACAGCGGGAGCCCTTCCCTAGCCCCCCGCCACGCCCCGAGCGGCCCTTTGCCCACCGCCCCAGGAGCCTGGTGCCCGGCACGCGTACCTGGGAGCCGGCGTGGAGGGCGGGACGCCGTGCCCAGGAGAAGGGCCGCCGGGCGAGCAGCGCGGCAGGTGGCTGAGGCGCGTGTGACCGCAGCCTGCCCGCCCGGCGGGCCTGGGACACGTCGCTTTAGTGCCGGAGCCAGCGGGAGGCGGAGCCTGGCGCAGCGGGAGCTTCCATGCAAATCCGCAATGGGGGGTCGCGGCGGCTCGAGGTGCCCCCGCTCGCGGCTCCGCAGCACCTGCACGGGGGCAGAGCCGGGACCGTAGAGCCGCGGGGCAGCGCGGTGAGAACATGGGTCCTTATCGCGCGGGCGGTGCCACCCGCTCCTGCAGCACAGAGGGCGGCATTGTACGGCCCAATTTAAGCGTGAGATTCCCCTCCCGCCCCAATGAATAAAAGCCAGTGTGTGCAAGATGTTGGAGAACTTGTTCCAACACAGGTTAAGCCATATGAAAATAAGAGCCGGGAAAGCTGCCCACATGAGTGCCGCACAGGGCTCTCTTCCTGCAAACGTGCGGCAATTCACTAGAGGACAGCTGCAGCTTGCAAACTCAATGTTCCCAAATTTCAGAGGTTGTGTTTTTTTTTAATTGTTATTATTAAAAGACGAGCTCGGCTTGGTGCTGCAATTCCATCTGGGCACTCCGACTGAGCTGGTTTTGGATGGGTCAGTATTCTGGGAGACTTCCAGTTCAATACCAAGATGCTGCAAGTGGGACTGGTGATTCAACAGGCAGAAACTCTTCCCTCAAAGTCACTACTGGACCAATGCTCCAACACGATTGTGGTTGGCACTGTGCTGATAGAGCCTTCCAGACAGAGCACAGCTAATGAGGTCATCATGACTACTTGTCATTAAAGAGGAACAGGCTTGGCAAGCTGGTCACTTGACCAGCCTAATCATGTCAATTGACTTATTTGTCCATGGTTAAATATAGTCCAGTGTTCCCCTAAGAATTCCCTGATGTAGGTGATGGCCTACCTTTTTGATTGCATCATGGTACTATTCCATCATTTTTTTTAAGGACAATTTGTTTTGCATTTTTCTGAATTAAAATAACTCTGTTAACCAACTTGTTTTTTTTATAATTAGGCATAAGAATCTAAGGCTAAGCCTATTGAAGGCCATACTCTTTTTTTGTTACTGTTCTAAGAAGTTACTGCTTTAAAATATTTGACCATTTTTGACATTTGACAATATTTGACTGGTCAAATACCCAGCCCTAGAGAGGAAGGATGGGTGAGTGATAGGGCACTACTGGGACTTCACAGAACTGGGTTCAGTTCCCTATTCCACTACAAACTAACACCTTGGGCAAGTCACCTAGGCTCTCTGTGCTACAATTTACCATTTATAAAATGCAGTGAATAGCACTTCCCTATTTCACAATAGTGTTGCAGACTGTGAGGTTGTAGTGTAGTAGACAAGACTGAGGTGTTCAGACACTATGGTGACAGGGACCATGAGATATGAAAGTGATAAAAGTGCCATGGGATCTTTAAGAGCTGTGGAAAAAGCTCCCATGTCCTAGTCAAATTTCAACTTGAACGATTATATTTTGCCTATTTAAAGTTCCTACTGTGATTTAAGTTGAAGCATCTGTTTGTTAAAATCCATGGAAGGAAATTTAAGTTGTAACTGTGCAGTTTTTTTCCATTTCTTAAAAGCAGATACCAAAAGATTAATATATTCCATTGTATAGTGTAACCAAAGTTTTTTGTTTTCTGAAGGCTAGAATTGAAAGCATTTATTTTTAAATCTTTAAATGCATTTTAGGATCATGACAATGCAAAAGGTGAAAACTAGGGTGACCAGATAGCAACCGTGAAAAAACAGGACAGGGGGTGGAGGGTAATAGGCACCTACATAAGAAAAGGTTCCCCAAAACAGGACTGTCCCTATAAAAATGGGACATCTGGTCACCCTAATGAAAACATAATTATTTCTATTTATTGTGCACTTTGGGGTAGTTTTGTCACTTCCTAAACTTAAGACAGGAACACACGTAGTGGAATTAATAGCACAGCAACAGTTTATCATCTTAACTCTACACAATCTATATTGCTGTTCACTAAATATATGCTACAAATTCTGAAATTTTATAATTTTGTGCCAAATTCATCCTCACTAAAATTCCATTTCAGTTGCATTTTTTAAAAGTACAAATGTTATAATAATGGATTTCTTGTTAGTAGCTAATTAAGTCACCTGTTTTTAAATATGTTCACCTGTTCAATATGTTCACAAGTTTCTTGCACTGTTTCCATTTTTCAGTGTTAGTTTCTTGCATGTTTTTAGGCCCAGGCATAAAGAAATTGTCTTATTACTGAAGGATTTTTGAGCACTTCATTTACATTATTTTTTTCATTTTAAAATATTTTCCATCATCATCTAAACCAGGAAAACAGGAACTCAGAGGTTTATACCAATGCCACTTACCCAGTTAATTGTCTGTAAAGAGAGGAATGATATGCAACCTCTTCACAATGAGACAGCGAGTATGTCAGTTCTACTGAGACCTCCTTATGCCAAAGAGCAGGAATCCATGTCTACTACGTGACAATAGCAGGGTTTGTTTTGTTTATATAAAGACATGCACATTCATGTGTAGTGTCTATTAAACCTCACATAATTATGGCAAAAGCCACTGTGATGATTTCAGATGCTAACACATTTCAACAAATTTTCATTTGAAAGATATTACTACAAATTAAATCTATGCTGTACTTTAAACAGTGCTTCTCTGTAGAGGGTATGTGTTATGCGATGTGATGTTCAAATGATGGTGACACATACTAGCAGAAGAGCTCAGGGATCTAAAATACACCCTCTCATATAGGTTTTGTTGTGCTGCGTAGGTTGAAGGGTGTGGAGCTTCAGGCACCTGGGGTAGAATAGATGCTGCCCAGTTCCTCGCTTATGAGCACATTACTTTTGGGAGTGAAATCAGTCCCATTCACTTCACTGAAACGAAGAGCTGAACAAGTACCAGAAATGAGTTGGGCGAAGAATAAACGAACACAGACACGAAGGTTATAAATATATAACTGTATTTTATTTTTGAATATTAAATAGTGTTTTTAAATTACAAGCAATTTATTGAATCACACTATGCATGATAATCAATATACAGTAGAAATATTACAATTTAAAAATGTACACAATTGCAAGACGATTTGACCTGAAATTTCATTAACTATGATGTATTGCCAAAAACCTCATACCTGTATTAAATTACAATAGGAAAACTTCATACCTATGATTTTGTTACATAGCTTCTCATTTACAAATTGAATTAAACATTTTATATACACATCAGTACCATTTATCATTAAATTACACCTATGACTGTGCAAGTTCAAACAATTTAATAAAACTAATAATTTTAAGTCATTCAAGTTTATCTGAAAAACAGGCTGCTGGTATCACAAATACTTAATTTCAATATATTTATATGCTCTTGTACTCTCTAGATTTTTTCATATCAAAGACTTGAACCAAAACTTATTAATATTTAAGGAGATTTTTGTATGACTTAAAGCTGAAGTAATTTTGTACACTCCATTCTTATTTTAAGGCTATTTCTTATAAGGCTAATATACTTTGATTCCACCTTTCACTAAATCCAACAAATAGCCATGTCACTAACACCTGACTTACCACTGAAATTTTAGCATAGTGCTTAATAGTTAAAAAAAACACAAGTATTTCCCTACCAACCAGCCCCTCATGAAAAAAAGATTCAATACTACATATAAATGTATTACTTAAAATACTGATAAAAGAAAGAGGCTTGAATGGCTTTCATTAGTGCATCACCAAGGATATGAAAAAAGTGTTCAATCTGTTCGTTTCCATGGAAATGGCAGTTTACAACATATAGCTGAAAGTTAGGGACTTGGGAAGGTACAGGAGTTTCAAATAAAAAAACTGACTTTCTTCTCACTTTATTGGCCTCTCACTGTGTGACCTAGTCACATTTTCTCACCAAGAAATTTTTAAAATCATGTTATCAGCTTCCATTTTAGACTGTAGATGGGATGTTTTTTGTAAGATATTTAAGTAGCCAAATTAAGATAATGCCTTTTAGTATTTAAATAAATAATCAAGATCTTCTATTACAGAAGAAACTAAAATGGAATCAACCCTCATAATAAACCACTGAAAAAACAGATATAAGTATTTCTAAAACTGAAACCACTTGGATAAGCAGTGCAAGAGATTACAGAATGTAATGTATGGCCTATTTGACAAATCACCTCAACTTGATTACATTTCGGCTACTCCACAAATTTGCCTTCCTTGCATAATTCATTTCTGGAAGATGGTTTGCCACTTGAACACGGTAGTAGTTTGTAATAAAATTTAACGACATATATTTCAAAAAAAATTTACAATTTTAATCTAGTGAATTGGATTAATGAAATTAATATCCACTGAGATTACGGAAGTGTGGCAATTCAGATATAATTGAACAGATATAACAATGATTTTTCTCTGTAATATTGCTAAAGAAGCACATTACTTTCTATAACATCCCACACACACAAATCTCATTTTGAACAAAAAATGTCTGTTTGGCAATTCATTAGCAAACAGTCCACTTGGACACAGGAGCAAACTTTCATTGTTACGTAAGGTTTTAAGACATGGTACTCTTACTAAAGAAAATGGGAGTCACAAATGACTAACGCCCCACCAACTGAGGAGAATCCTGATGTGTTGAATACAAGGTTAAATACTACCCAGCTGCACAAGATCTGTTCCATAATCTAAATTTCTGAAGTTACAACAGGAACAAAAGTGAAGCTGCATCTCAATATCCCAGTCAAACTATATTAGCTTTTATTTAACCTCAGAAACTATGTTCAAAATCAAGAGATTCAGAATTAAGGCTGAAACTCCTTCTCTAACCCTGTGATACTTTAGGTGTTTCAGCACATCTAAGGTAGACAATTCCATACATTCTTTGGAGACTCAGCATATGGAGTTTCATTCTTAATTTTGGATTTCCCTGCTTTTTTATTTATGGTAATATAAAAGTGTTACAGAAAAATTCAAGGATTGATGAGACACCTTAACCTGGTGTGTGTTTAAGGAATTTTAAAAAGTCTATATTCCAGAACTAATAGGATATAATGTTTAGTGTGCCAAGGTCTATTGTTTATATTTTAATATGTACAAAGAGCATACCACGTAATAGCTCCTTTAAACCCATTACAGTATATACTGTAAGTGTATATTTAGAACTGGCTTTGCATTTAAAGATATGTTGAAAAATTCTATGAAAAGTTGTTGCTGTGCATGTGCAACGGCAAATTTCTATGATGTTATTCACACTGAAGTACAACTCT